ACGACAGCCAATTGGTACGCATTCCAGTAGCGGCTTTTCCGAGAAAACCCTTTAGAAAAGACTTAAGGCAAAGTGCCGACGAGTATATCTTTGATGATTTACGAAACCACGGCATAAGCCACGTATGTGATGTGCGTGCGTAATTACGTGCGCGTGTGTATGTAGAACTAAATGCCTCACGTGCTCATTTACTCGCACTCGAACCTGGACGGAAAAGTAATAGATATCGACGACGAAGCCATATTTGCAAGAATAGTGCCACTGGCATTCTTGTTTGATTTTATGAACTAATGTATTCTTAGACGTGATTATTGGCAGAGCCTCGGGCTTTGTTTATTTTTTCTTTGTTTGTTTCATTTTTCATGAATTAAGTGGCTTTACGGATCCTCGCACCACTATTATTCGGTCAATATACTAACATTGCCAATCCCAATAATTATAGAATTATTCACAATTTTCAACGCGTTTATTAATTTAACTGTCTCGCGTGTCTCATAATTGTTATCTTAATTGAATGCAAAAAAAAAAAAAATACAAAAATAAAAACAAAAAAAAAGTATTTTAACATTTATACTGGTGTATAATCAAAAGTTCTGCCAATAAAATTCTTTGGAATAAAACTGTAGAGAAGAAATAATTGATGGAATATCAAAAAACTACTGATATTACCAAATAAAAACAAATGACAAATATCTTCTTAAATAATAATCATTTAGTAAATGGAAATCTTTAATATATCTCATCTTTAAGAATTTATTAGCTTGATTTATTTGATATAAGTCTGCAGTTAACATATGTTGGCTAACGATAATTATAATTCTCAAAATAAATGTGTCAAATGACTTTTTTTAAGCTCTATGCCAACAATTTGTAATTCTTGAGCACGTTCATAATAATTTTAATATTTTAATATTTTAATATTCAATAATAGATAGATTTTATTATTATTATATTATTTTATGTCTCTTGAATTTAATTTGTGACATTTCAATTAATATTTAATGTTCATGCACAATTCACTTTCTATTTTAGGCTATAGTTTAATATTAATAATGTAAAGCATTTAAAACTTTGCAAATTGTTATGAAAAGTTTTATGATTCGTTAATATTACATTGATCTATATAATTAATAATATACTTAACGACCTAAATGCAAGTAAAGCGAATGCATTTTAACAAGCAAGAGAGATTTTAATTATAAATTATAAATGTGATTAAGAGATACGTATTTTAAAATAGGAAATACAAAAGCTAAATAAAAATGTGAAATAATAAATTACGATGGTCGGAGAAGGATGGAAATTGCTTGAAAAACTTGAATATTTTGTGTGAAAATAAGAGATGGTAAAAATGTCGAGTTGAAAGGCTTTTGTCTGACTGTGTACGACATAAATTGTATTACATTATATCAAATAATCACGAACAATGATTATATACTATATTAATTATTTTGTCTACATCAATTATTTTGTCAGTTATGTGTGCTAATATAACTATGAATACCTTTTATCATTATGTATTGCATTGTCCTAAGAATGACTCACCTAACAGCGAGCTATTATTAATTAACAATTTGGAAAGATTTACAAAATGTACAAGTGATATGGTTAAAATAAAATCTTCATAGCTATGAGCGACGCTTGCTTCTTCAACTATAAACAACTTGCTGCAAAATGAACACCAAAATAATAAGCTTAACGGAATAAAAGTGAATGATTTAAAGCTCATTGAAAAGGTCTTACACAATACACTCGCTCGACAAACGATTTACATTAGATAATTGAGTTATAATATATGCATATATATATATATATATATATATATGAACTTTTGCAAATACGTGTATAGTCAAATCGTTTGAATTGGCGGTATTAAATCGAGTATTTCGATTAGTTTTGCGAATTCAATGATCAATCTCGCATTGACGAGAATTTATAATTAATTCCTCCCCACCTACAACCCTTAAAGCCATTAACGTACACTCAACACTTTATATTAGTTGAAAGTTCACGCATATCTCGATCGAAGATTTGAATTTAACAATTTTGCACATTATCGTCTCATCATCGTCTAGATTCTGAAAGTGGCACGAAAAATCAACAAATTCAATGAATATTTTTTCCATCCAATTTCAATGTAGTGCCGACGACTAGTGTTATTCTTGTCGTCTCATAACCTTAACCCCGATATAATTTCAACCTGGTCGAGCGGAATCTCATTCTCACTCTCACTCTCACTTTCACACACTCTCTCTCTCTCTCTCTCTCTCTCCGTCTGTCTCCCACCCACCCGGCGGACCACGCATAAACAAAAGGAGAGTCTATACATTGAAAAGTTAGGCTCAGGAGGATAGCGATAAAGGCGAGCCTCGTACCAAAGTGAGACGCAAAATGCGGAATTAAGCGGACGACACACCACGGGGGCCCTTCTCCCTTGATTTGCCCCCAACATTACCTCGGCGAACTTGCCGTCAGTGAAGTATTTGAGCAGCGAACTCTT